AAAATCGTCACACACAAAATACATGTGACCTCTTTGTCACAATAGAAAAATTGGACATGAGCTGCTTAATTAATTTAACCGATTCAATTAACCAAACCACCACAGAAATTTGGTGCAGGTCAAATTTTAGGCAACTGTGAAGCCTTGACGGAGGTTTATGAGCACTACTGAGTGTCATATAGTGTTTTTTCTGGTGCATTATGTTACCTGGTACTTGGCCAGTAGTTTGCTCCTCCAGTGGGTGTGGGGAATGTCATGGATGGACAGGCGCAGGTTGTGGTAGCTGTCTTTGAAGAGCAGCGGCTTGGGATCCTCCAGCAGAACTCCACCCAGACTCCTTTCCAAATCCAGCACCTCCTGCACAGGCGGAGAGGAGAGGAGAAGACGGGCTTTTAGAAACATGCACATTCGATCACTTTTATTATGGATTTATAATTCTAACACATTGGAGAGCATACTTTCTCAAATGCTTAATTAAAATGTGTCGTGCACTCCCGGAGTCGGCATCCCCAAATGGATATGTGTGAGCGCTAACAGTCTGAAAGCTGTTTAAACTCTAGCAGCCAGGAACCATGTGATCTGATGCCAGTAGAACTGAACGCGGCACGCTCATGTTTACTACCCCGGCTGGTCTGTGAACACTTCACACAAAAGGGACCGGGAGAGGGAAAATATTTAACGTCAGTCATTCCAACTTTGACTGGATGCTCTTTTGTTGTTTGGTATGGAGCTTGTATTGTGCTGTGCTATTTTGAGGCTTCTATTGGGACAGGAAAGATCCAACATGTGACGCCCCCAGAATGTAATTTTTAGAAACAGGAAGAATCTGCAGGATCAGTTTGGACGGGAGGCTGATCCTCTATATCCCTGAACCACTATGGAAATAAGCTATATTAACTTTTACTGTTATTATCATGTGTCACGCTTCGATTTCACATTTCTATTTATACTTCTATTTTATTATATTTCATGTAGTACTTGTTTTTGTAGTATTGGTTTTGCATGTCCAGGTCCTCTGCGAGGATTGATCTTGCTCTTTTATTTGGATTTCTTAACTTTTTTAACCATTTAGATAGATTTAATAGATTGTTTGTGACATTATAGAACCAAACCAAGCTCTTTCATAGAGACCCAGCTACAACAGACAATTTTAAATTAGTGCAGATTTAAATTGAATTATTATTTACCAATGTATGTCTGTTAATGCTTCCTTGGTTGTGTCCAGAGCATGTGTGGAATTAAAAGACGCTGGTGTCGATGTGCTGTTTATAAAAGCACATGATCTTCACAGATTAATCAATGCCTCACGTCCTGCCTTTCCCTGCTGCAACATTCCTCCTCACCTGAACGCTCTGGAGATTTCTGTGTTGTGAATGCGTCTTAGTGGAGACTCTCCTGCTGCGTTGTTTGTGTTCTGGAGAACATGTCGGCTATTCGGCTGCACACATTCATACAATGCTTCTATACACACGCTGCAGTAAAGCCTTCAGGGGCAAACTGGAGTTCAGGTCTTGCTAAAGGACACTGCAGTACGGAGTGGAGGAGCCAGGGATCAAACCGCAGATCTTCTGGTGGATAACCTGCACTACCTCCTAAGCCACAGACACCAGAGCCTCTGTGGCTCCAGACAGAGCAGTCAAAAATTACTGAATCAGCTTTAGTTGGGGGTACAAGTGAAAAAAAAAAATCTTTGTTTGGATCACCTCTTTTTGAGAATTGCTGCACAAAGATGCATTAGCTGCCACTTGCTCAACGCACCTGAATCTCCACCAGAATTGTTGGCAGACGAGTTATACTTTGAGTAATGTCGGTGCCCAGTTTTGACAAGAAAGAAGAATGAGTGGAAGAAAAGAAGACAGTATCGGTGGCTCTGCTGCATTAATTCTGGTTCTTTTTTCGTGTCCAGTACTGTTACAGAAGTGCAATGCTTAATCGGTGGAGAAAAAGACACACTAGAAGAATAAAGGATAGCAACACAATCAGTACCTTGAGGGCATGCGGGGTGTCATGGATGCAGTAGATCCTGAGGCTGAAGTCCAGCGAGAGGCACGGTGCTCGGGGGGCGAACAGAGCCAGCTGCAGGCGTTTGCAGGCGGGCTGTGGAGGGCAGGACTGACCCACCAGGCCGTACGTCCCCAGCTGCTCCATGAGCACGTGACAACACTCCTCCTCCAGTTGCAGGTAGCAAGGAGACGACAAAGTCTCTTCGCCCACCGTCAGCACCTCCTGAAAAAGAAGCACGGTTCAGTGACGCAACAGCAGCCTAACGTGATCGCCATTATTTGATTCCAGTTTTAAGCTGCCTGACCTCCCACGCCCCCTGGTGCGTCTGCGTCTTAAGTGTGAGGGTCCAGTCGGGTGTGGGCGTGTCTAGCTGAGCACAGTGGGGCAACGTGAGGACCACAGGACGGTTCAGCAGCATGCCGGACGGACCGCAGCTCACCACAGGACTTAGTACAGTCTGACTGCCCTCTGAGGGTAGCCTGTAAATGTCCCCCACACACACACAGGGAAAACAGTTGCAGAAAAAATCACACTTCATTTATAAAAGAACAAAGGGAATATCAGACTTCCAGAGAATTGGCAAGAAATTAATCTAGTCAAATATCTGTGTATAATCCAAGTCAAGTGGGATAACTTCCAAATAATCTTCATGTGATTTACAGTAGGCAAGGCTTGCATGGGAGATATTCTGCTGTAGTCTGCTTCATGGTTGCAAAGGAAATGAATGAAACAGACGGCACTCACGTTGTTTTGTCCCACTTGTTGATAATGAGGTACATCTCGTAGAACTTCCCCTGGGGGATTGTGCCAGGGGGGACCAGCAGACTCACACCTAAGGCAGAAAGCGTCATGACTTTTCTTGTCTTACGTGTGACTAAGTGGACACGTCATTGCTCAATAGAGCACACGAATCTTCCCATTTGTGCATGAAACAACAGTTACCTGTGTTGGGGATGGTGAGGCGTCCTCCCAGGTTACCCAGGGTGGCACTGGTGCTTAGCCCGGGCTCTCTGGACAGTGTGTGACTGTGGTAGTCTCGCTCTCTACCCACAGTGCCCACCGACTTCAGGCTGAGGATCTCCCCGTCGCTAATGACCATGTCGGCGGGGAGCTCCATGGAGGAGAGTGTGGCGGAGTTGTACACCTTGATTTTGAGACTGGGCAGGGGGTCCAGCAGGGGCGAGGTGGTCATAGGGATCTTGTGGGGGCTGTCGTTCACCACGTGCTGCAGTGAGAAGAGCGGCCCACGGAAAGTCCCTGCTGTGGCTGTCAGATCCGGAGGAGCTGAGGGATGCAGAGGGTGAGGGTTATCTGTGGACGCAGGAGGAGAGAGGATCTGCTCGCTTATCACCAGAAAGGACACAGGCAGGACAGAGAGCGCCGAGAGTGATGCCAGTGAAACAGATTAATGCTAATTAATATTTGATGGCAAGACCAAGAGAAGGGATACCATAGAAAATGCTTAAAATATTTTAAAAAATGTAATGTAGTAAAGAATGGAGACATGATGAAGCGAGGGGAGATAACAGAGAATTAATTTAAAAGCTGCTATAGATAGCTGCGTGATAATTAAATGAATTGTGAAGAAGATTGTGAAAACAAACACAATGATTAAAAGAGAAATATGAATTGAATGAAGTGTTTACCTTGTCTGGGAGGCTTGTAGTTGCCGGGGTGGAAAGCGGTTGTGAGTGCGGATGAGGAATCTGTGATGTCTCCATGGAGATGGCGGCGTCTGCGACGATAAGCGAGCCCTCCCACGCACAGCGCCAGGATCACGCACAACAACAGGGCCACCACCAGACCAGCGTAGACTGCTACGCCCATACCTGGAGCTAGCGCTGGAAAGAAGGACAACAACGAGAGTTAGGAGACACAGAAAAAAACATACAGACACAAATACAATGGAAACACAAAGGAAAACCATTTAGGAAGGAATGATGGGGAAAGGAAAATTCATTCATGAGAAGTCATCTGATTTGCTGCAGGAAATAGTATAAATTAGTTGTTGGGGTATTAGTTAGTGTTGACAAGATTAGTCAATTAATTAATTAGTCCACAGGCTATAAATAACTTTTCTCCAGCTACAAAAATTAAATCTGTTGCATTCGACAAATCAAGAGACGAAGACATCATCTTGCACAATACTTAATCTCGATCATCTATACTGTCTGACGTGTCTGACTTCCTGATTAACCAAAACAAATTACCAACAGATTAATCAGCGGTGAAAATGGTCGCAGCCCTTTTCTTACAGATAGATTCAGATTTGTTCATGTCTATCTTGAGACAACACTGACAAGACCACTAGTGCATTAAATGAGTTGTCGGTCGCTTTAATTTTTTGCCATGTCCACACAGAGTTCGAGGGGATCCGTCCTCGTACATGATTCCTTTGTAGCAGATGAAGGACGAGACTCACAGTGCTTGATCTATGTTAAAATACTCTCAGAAGTTCCTGCTGAAGCTAATGTGAGGCTTCAACAGTCAGAGTACGTCGGATTAAGTGTGTATCTGCCAAAAATAAAGATTGTGTTGAATTTAATGCAGAGGGTAAACGTTACATACAATTTTAAAAGTTGTGGAAAAAGATCCCTGGTGAATCCAGACCCCCTGTGATGAGCTATTGGCATTGGAAGTTAGAAAACGAGCTTCAGCTGAAACCTTATAATGCATTATTTACACAGAACTAGGACAGTGGACTTTGTCCAACCATCTGTTACATTGGAATTGCATTAGGGAGGAGATCGCTCCCGCGCCAGCAAAGAGAGGAGCCACAATCATGGTGACGGATGACTCTTTCAGTGTACGTGTGGACGTGTGAGTGTTGTTTTAAGATAGAATGAAAATGTGAAGCTATTCTTTAACTATGGCAGCCGGCTCCATCCTTTTTTCTCTATGTTGTGAGTGGTCAGCACACCACGGCCTCCTCTTCCACACAAGCAGAGCCAGGCCCAACCCAGACACGTGAGCCAGTCACACTACAGCAGAAAAGACAAGGAGAGAGGTTGGCCAGAGACAAAGAAAAAGCAAMAAAAAAAAAAGAGAGAGAGAGAGAGTAGACAGGCTGGATAAAGAGAGGAGAAGAGAGCTAGAGGAGAGGCAATTTGGCAAAAGGGAGAGGAAGAAGCCTGATAAGGTTGTGATTTGTTGAGAGGACAGAGGGATTATAAGTATGGTGAGGAGAAAAAAGATAAGGATAAAAGTGCTTGAGGAAGAGGCCTGTGTTAACAGAGCAGGGAAGAGTGGGGAAGAAGTTGTGAGGAAAGCGTCGACACTACGCAGCAGCAGCGAGAGTGGAAGGAGGAACGGACGGAGAGAGGAAGAGGAAAGCCAGAGGCAGACAGGCTGGCAGAGGAGAGCTCCCATGCTCACGTGGCGCGATGGAACCAAATCTGACAGCCGTCCGCACTTGTTACCAGAAACGGAACAATGGCGAATTAGGTGCATTACTGTGGCTGCTCTCCCCTGAGCCCACGTCACATTGAGCAAGAGGAATTACCATCACTTCAAATGTAAACTATATCACAGATTAACGGAAAGTCAGACGGAAATCAACAGCTTTTCTCCAGGAAGTTACGACACCTCCACTCACAGAGTCTCAGTTTATAGACGTGTCCTTAAGCTCATCCATGACAGAGCTTGCAGATTTTCTCTGTGTCATGTTGGGTCAGAACGAGCTGAACTGGTTCTCTTATGTTTAACAAATTAAAACATTTATTTATAATTACTGTAACCCCCCCCCCACACACACACACACACACACACCCCATGCTACAGTTGCAGCCAGCTGTCATGTAAGTGGAGCAATGTGCAAAAATGAAGCCAGCCCGGAAACCTATGCTACGCTTACTCAACATAATGGACAGGATGGGTTAACAACGATCGTAAGCTAACTGGACAAGAAGGTGAGCAGCGGCTTCCTGAGCTCGATCTGAGATGACAACAGAGTGTGGACGGGCAGACTCGACACAAATGATGCACACTCGTATCCACGTGCCAACACAGATGTTAGGACTCCTAACCTGTATGAGCTCACACTCTCACACACAAACACGCACGCACGCACGCACGCACACACACACATACAGTACAAACAGTATGAGGCAGAGAAAGAGTGAAGTCATGGGAAGGTGAACTTACGATGGGTTGCATGTTCAATAGAAATCTTTTTATCTGTTTGAACAGGAGAAAAAACAGGAGAAGAAAGGAAGAAAAACATAAAACATAAAAATGGATGGACTAGTCGTTATGCAAATGAAAGATACAGCAACATAATGCAAAGCAGAAAACGGCTAAAGGAAACAATAGCTTGTCAATATGAAAATACAAATGTAAACATAAAGGGCATACCGAGAACAAGAAAACAGACTTTATACCCACACAATAAATGACCCATATCTGGGGATGTGTTATAGAAGGTGCAGCATTGTGGAATAACTGTTTATATAATGTAGAGAGTAGATAAATGTAGAGGGGTGGCACAGTGGTGTGGTGATTAGCACTGTCGACCTGTTCGAATCCAAGTTTGGCCAGGGTCTCTCTGTTTGCACTTTCTCTCCCGTGTCTGCGAGGCTTTTCTCCAGATACTAAAACTGCCTCCCGCAGTCCAAAGACAAAGAGTTTGCTTGTCTTTATTAAGGTAATTGAAGCCTCTGAATTGATAGTAGGTGTCTATGGTTGTTTGTCTCTGTATGTTGGCCCTGTGATATGCTGACTGTGGTGGAAATTCTTGGTGAGAGAAATTACATTTCTCGCAAACTCTCTTTTGAGAATTTATTGAAGCAGGAAATACAACAGAGAATATAACAAAAAATAACAAAGGTATCTAAGAATATAACCAAGTATCTATCAGAATCTATCAGGTTCTATATTCAGCTGAATAGGAAAGAGTTCTCAATATCACAATGTGAAGCAGAAGTCTGACAGAGTTCACTGCTCCAGATATTTATGATATTCTAGTCGTATAACTATCGTCAGATAGAGGAAACATTTTCAACAATGATTCTTCTGTTAACGCAGTCAGTACTGGACCAAAGCCAGTTCGGTTGGTCGCATCTGCATCTTTGTTTCTTACAAGGTTAAGGAAGGTTCATGCACAAAAGGTAAAGGAAAGTTCATGGAGTAGAAAGACATTTCATACGAGGTACAGACAGTTAAAATTTCCATTACACTGGCGACCTGTCCAGGGTGTACCCCGCCTCTTGCCCAATGTCAGCTGGGATTGGCTCCAGCTCCCAATGCGACCCTCAAAAGATAAGCGGTTTAGAAAATGGATGGATGGATGATGTCGAGTACAAGAGAAAATGAATATAAAAGTCTATTAGAAATGGGTTTGGAGAAGTTTTAGATGAGATTGGTAAAGATAAAGACAGACGTAAACATGAGTGAGGGCCCTGGTGTTGTGTGGTACATGTAGCCGACGACGTAGATTTAAAACCATATAATTATGATGTAAATCCCACAGAATATGTTATCACCTTCATCCTGACAGGAACCGTCTTTTCCAACATAAGAACAACATGAATCATCACTGAGCGAGTGTCGAAAACACCTCATCGCTCGAGCATCATCAAAACACCAAATGTTTTCTCTCGGATCTCCCAAACATCCAGCAGCAATTAAGACTCCGGCAGGATGCAGCGATGAGGATGGTTAGTGGCGTCTCAGAGTATTTTACATTTATGACTTTAGCTGATTCCCAGAGGGATTAACAAAAAGAGAAACTCTTGATCGTCAGAGTCAGGATGTCTTCGGGATGTTTGCGACCGCTGCATAATCACATTTAGTGTGGAAATTGAATAAGTCAGTCAGTAACCTGCAGGTTGCAGAGTGACACCTTCACAGATTCTTATACAGCGCAGTGCCTCCCATCTCCCCCTTCTGTCAGACCGACTTGAGAGCATGTTTTCCTGACGGCCTCCAGAGAATGCTGGGCTCTCTGCAGCCAAATCAGAAAATGTATTTGTCTAATCTGTCTGCTCTGTGGAAGCCTGTTTATGTGAAGAGTCGCGTGTAGGTCTGATGGAGTTGAAGCCACACCACTGCACTTAATGTGGATATGATCCCCCACCGTTGCATGTGCATTTACAAGGTTCGTGCGTGTGCTCGGATGTGTTGGTTTCTGTGTGTGCTTAAGTGTGTACTTGAACGTATCTCACTGCCTCTGTGGATGTGCGTCTCTAAGATTCTAATGCGCTGTCAGCTGGATTCCTCCGTGCTCATCACAGGCTGCACACTGGGCGTCAGTGTGAGTCTGACTCACTCTCATATGCTCTTCCCTGTGCTAATTTTCGACTTGGCCGTGTCATGCTCACTTCCCACTCCATGCGCTTCCTTAGTGTGCACTCGCTCTCCCTCTCCCTTTCTCCCTCTCCATCTGTGCTTTTTAGATGTGGATCACTTTTCTTTGCGAACCTAAATTCTCCCTCGTGAAACATCTGTCTGAGATGTTCTTTTCATCTCACTCTACAACATTTGTACTCTCACATTGCTGCAATTACTAAAGCACCTTGGGAATACAGTTTCATACAGAGTAGCTTTGAAATTAAATCCACCGCATAAAACCGAAGCATGAGCAAAGAAATCACTGGCTCAAAAAACGTACTATTATCTGAAGCAACAAATATGCTGTAAGGGAGCTGACCCCTATAGAAACACATTTATTTAGATAGACAGCTCAGGTGAACTGAATTCACCAGATGCTGATCTCTACTAAAGGCAACTTAGGAATTAGAAGACATTACATGAGGAATTATATATGAGCTAAATATTTACTCCCTTTTGACATTTAACAACCACCCCAGTTCAAATGAATTGATCTGGTGACTTACTACGTGTACACAGCCCCTCAGTGCAGTTTTTGCTCTCCATCATGCTGCCGCTGCAGTGCTTCCCTCCGTTCCTGGGAGGGGGAGCTTGGCACTCGCGGCTGCGCCAGTGGGTGCACTCTGTACCACAGGCGGACCACTTTGCCCACTCTGTCCAGCCTCCATCCACTGGAATGATACAGCGCAGATGTAAGTCATTTAATAGCTAGCCAACAGCTAAATCACTCCAGGTAGAGGGGGAATTGGGCGTGACATTACAGTGCAGCACGATGCATATGTAATGACTGGAAGTGCAAAACTTTTTGGGACTTTAGAGTGAAGGTGGTCTGACACAGGGGCAAAGCAATAAGAACCAGAATGATATGTGACAGCAAATCATAACACTGTGTTTCTGATCTACATGACATACATGATCAAATGAGAGAATTTACATGACCACATGAACAAATTATATGATGAAGTTTTAAAATTTATGTTGATATTTCTTTGCCCATTTGGAAAAAAAACATACAATGTATATTTATTTTAAATGTAAATAATGCAGATGTTTACCTGGACACAGTGTGGTGCAGGTCACCCTCTGGAAGGGCGGACCCTCACAGAAGGCGCCACCGTTCAGAGGAGCAGGATTGGTGCAGCTGCGTGTCCGTCGCTGCCAGCCCCGCCCACACTGAGCATTGCACTCTGACCATTCAGTCCAAGAAGACCAACCTCCACTCACTGACAGAGAGACAGATCAATTAATGTGCTAATATACCCCCAAGCCATCATTTCATAGTTCTGTATCATGGCTGACATCTATGATGAATGGCAGGAGGTTTGCGTTACCGTAAACGATGAGAGTCGCCGTGCTGCTGCGTCTTTTGGCCACCACGTTACGAGCCACACACGTGTAGTTTGCCGTGTCTGAGAGTCTGGCCTGTTTTATGATCAGATCATGGTCAATGGTGATCAGGAAGTTGGAATCCTGTGACGGAGCAATGGCTTCCTCGTTCTTCAGCCAGTCAACCTGTGAAGAAGCAGGAACAGACACATTTACAGCACCGGGATTAAAACGATAAAACTTTGCCACAAGAAATTAGTTTAGTTTAGACAAACTCTCAGCCGTCTGTGTTGTTTCTATTTGGACTGATGGATGGACTAATTTTTTTGGCAGATATTTCTTCACATAAATCATTGTACAAATTAGCAGGTGTGTATGCATAAACATGAGTCGGCACAAAACACACAGACTCATTCAGTATAAACCTGCAGTGTTAAGCCACGGCTCAATATTTGATCTTTTTTGTTTAGAGTGACTTCTTTTGTCCAAACTGACACACACTCCACAATAATCGCAGAAAACAATAATGCAATTGGTGATCATTTTTAAATTCCAGTTTTCTTGCGATCACATAACTTTATCATGCTAGGGACTTTTTATGTAACATAATAACCATGCAACAATGCCTGGCAGAACATAAATATAAAAACCTACATTTCTGACTCATTTTTTTCTATTTTAATATATTGTTACACTGCCTTTTATGAGAGAAGTAAAAATTTCTGATGCCGTGTCGTACAGTTGGAGAAGCTTAGTGTAAAAACCTGACACAAAGTGGATTTAAGTTCTGCCTTCTTTTACTTTGTTGCTCAAATAACTGAGCGTATTATTACTGATCGCTTTATGGTTTAAGGAGGTTTTTTTCTTGATGGTGTCACGTAGCTGGATGCTCTTAAATCTTTCAAACTTCAGTGGCTTGCCCTTTTCTTCGCTCTTGCTTTATGTTGCTGTAAACTGTAGTGCATAAATGTGTACGATCGATTATTGATTAGCTAGCCCTCTGCTTTGTTGTCTCCCTAAAACACATGGACTCGCAAGACACAACAAGATATAAATATATTTGATGTATTTACTGCCCATTTATATCTAGAGCATTAATTTAACCCCAATGGCGATGGAAGACTAACATGTGAAATAGAAAATGAGCGTGGCTAAATGAGTGCAGGGATGAGGAGGGGGAGAGCTACCTCAGCAGCTGGCATTCCCTCCGGGGGGCGACACTGCAGGAGCACCTCCTGCTCCAGCCGAACCTCCCGCCCCAGTGGCTCCTGCTCAAAGTTCTTCCTCAGGTCTGCAGTGGGCAACACAAGTGTAGTCAACAAATAGTGAAGCATGCTTCATGACAGCAGTGTGACACCCTGTTTATCTAGGTGCCAATGTTTGTCAGACGAGCGCGCGCTCACGCATGCATGCACACGCACAGGCGCACACGAACACACACGCGCGCGCGCGCGCACACAAACACACACACACACACACACACACACACAAAGCTCCAAAAAGCCTCTGTAACTCGTCGTTTTTTTCCTTAATACCCTCATAAACATGCACAGTGTCAATCACCCTGCACCACACATTACCACAAGGGACTAAGACGGAATGCAACAGCAAGTTCATTTGCATATATACT